TCACACAGCCAGCTAACCCCACTGGAGGTTGGTCGAGAAGAGACCGGACAGCCATCTTGTCCAAAATGGTTCAGGGTCTCCTGCTCGACCAGGGGGGGGGCCTGGACTAGAGGACCTCCGAGGTCCCTTCCAGCTCTGTGGTTCTCGCACCCATTGCAGGGGCCGTGGACACCTTCACGCTGATCCACCACGACCTGGAAATTTCCACCAACCCAGCTCAGTACGCCATGATCCTTGACATCGTCAACAACCTGCTGCTGCACGTGGAGCCCAAGCGGAAGGTACCTGGGGGGGCTCCGGGGGGGCTGGGGGGCCGAGGGGGTGGCGGTGTTGGGAGGTCCAGGTGCCTCTTGAGAAGTTTTGTGCTTGTGAGCAGCCGTTCTCCTCCAGGGCTTGCCTGGGATGTTTTGTGGATGGAGGGGGGGGGTTGAGCCTATCCCTGCCCCATTCCCTGGACCCCTCCCTCCGTCCTTGTGCCAACCCCAGGCCCCCCTCTGGGACTCCAGAGAGTTGCCCAAGTTGTGTTGGCTGTTAGTGCAGCCTCCTCCCAGTCGGAGGGTGGAAGCGAGAGACAGACGCCCCCCCCTTCAGGATCCTCCGGGAATCAAGCAGCGCAGCCTGTGGGGGTCTTATAGCCGAACACAGTAGGGGGGGGGTCTAGGACAACTCTCTGCGGCCAATTCCCCCTGACCGGGGGTGGGGAATTATGGCTCTTTTATGACTCGCGGACTTCAACTCCCAGAATTCCTGAGTCAGCATGGGGGAACTATGGCCCCCTTCATGACTGGTGGACTTCAACTCCCAGAATTCCTGAGCCAGCATTCAGGCTCAGCATGGCTGGCTCAGGAATTCTGGGAGTTGAAGTCCACGAGTCATGAAGGGGCCATAATAATAATAATAATAATAATAATAATAGTAGTAGTAGTAGTAGTAGTAGTAGTAGTAGTAGTAGTAGTAGTAGTAGTAGTAGTAGTAGTAGTAGTAGTAAAGTTGGAAGGGACCTTGGAGGTCATCTAGTCCAACCCCCCTGCTCAGGCAGGAAACCCTACACCATTTCGGAGAAATGGCTGTCCAGTCTCTTCTTAAAAACTTCCAGTGTTGGAGCATTCACCGCTTCCGGAGGCAGGTTGTTCCACTGGTTAATTGTTCTCACTGTCAGGAAGTTTCTCCTTAGTTCTAGGTTGCTTCTCTCCTTGATCAGTTTCCATCCGTTGCTTCTCGTCCTGCCTTCAGGGGCTTTGGAGAATAGCTTGACTCCCTCTTCTTTGGGGCAGCCCCTGAGATACTGGAAGGCTGCTATCCTGTCCCCCCTCATCCTTCTCTTCGTTAAACTAGAGATACCCAATTCCAGGAGCCGTTTTTCTTATATGTTTTAGCCTCCAGTCCCCTAATCATCTTTGTTGCTCTTCTCTGCACTCTTTCCAGAGTCTCAACATCTTTTTTACATAGTTCCTCCCATGCTGGCTCAGGAATTTTGGGAGTTGAAGTCCATGAGTCATAAAAGAGCCGGGGTTTGGCTAGGAAAATTATTGTTTATGAATTGGGGTTGGAACCTCAGAGTGAGCTTTGCTTTGACGTTGCCGTGCAGTGTATTCAATAAAGAGTAAGCTTTTCGGAGACGGAATGAACCATCTGGATTCTCGAGCTGCCTTTTGGGTTGCGAGGGGTCGTGTGCGAGCAGCATCTCCCCCTCTCTTTGCCAGCTCCGGAGGGGCAGGGTCTTTCCTACCCTCCACAATTCCCACTGACCCAATCCGACCTCTGAGCAGCTTAAAAACTGACCAAGGGGGGGGGTGTCTTGCCTCTCCCTGGCCCCCAACCCTGTTTTTTTCTTCCTCTTCTTCCTCCTCCTCCCTGGCCCCACATAGGAGCACAGCGAGAAGAAGCAGCGGGTCCGTTTCCAGCTGGAGATCTCCAGCAACCCCGAGGAGCAGCGCAGCAGCATCCTCCACCTGCAGGAGGCCGTCCGGCAGCACGTGGCCCAGATCCGGCTGCTGGAGAGGCAGATGTACGCGGTCATGAAGGTGGGCGCACCTGGGGCTGGCCTGTGGGAAGGGGGGGGCGCTCCCTCTGAGGCCTGGGGTCCTGCCCTGGGGCACCTCTGCCTGACCCCCTCTTCTCTCCCCAGTCCCTGCAGGACGACGGGCGCAACGAGGCGCTGCTTGACCACAACCAGAAGCTGCAGCAGCAGCTGAGCCAGGAAAAGTCCACCTTGCAGCAGGAGAGCGAGGACCTGAACATCCTGATCAGGTGCGGGGAGCAGAGGGGGGGGGCTGCTTCTGTTACTCCCCCCTGGGAGGGGGCTGGACGGAGGCCCGGCGTCTGTTCCCCAGGGAGAGATGGCCCTGTGTTGCAGTGAGCTGGGATGCACAGGTGGTCCCCGAGTTACGACTATAATTGGGCCCAAAAGTGATCTTGCCTAAGTGAAACATTTGCGAAGTGAGTTTGGCCCCGTTTCACGACTTTTTTTCCCCCTGCGGTTGTTAAGTGAATCACTGCAGTAGTTCAACTGGTAACACGGTTCTTAAGTGAACGTGGCTTCCCCCATGGACTTTGCTCGTCAGAAGGTCGCGACCCCGGATCACGTGACCCCAGGGACACTACGACCGTCATAAGTAGGAACCAGTCGCCAAGCGTCTGAATGTTGATCACGTGACCCCGGGGGACGCTGCGACAGTCGTAAAGTGTGAAAAGGGGTCGCTTCTTTCAGTGCCGCGGTAGCTTCGGTCGCTAAACGAATGTTTCTAAGTCCGGGACTACCTGTTTCTCTTTTCTTTTCTTTTTTTTTTAAACAAATTTTATTAGTTATAATAATAATAATAATAATAATAATAATAATAATAATAATAATAATAATAATAATAATAATAGTAAAGTTGGAAGGGACCTTGAAGGTCATCTAGTCCAACCCCCTGCTCAGGCAGGAAACCCTAGACCATTTCAGACAAATGGCTGTCCAGTCTCTTCTTAAAAACTTCCCATGTTGGAGCATTCACCGCTTCTGGAGGCAGGTTGTTCCACTGGTTAATTGTTCTCACTGTCAGGAAGTTTCTCCTTATTTCCAGGTTGCTTCTCTCCTTGATCAGTTTCCATCCGTTGCTTCTTGTCCTGCCTTCAGGCGCCTTGGAGAATAGCTTGACTCCCTCTTCTTTGGGGCAGCCCCTGAGATACTGGAAGGCTGCTATCCTGTCCCCCCTCGTCCTTCTCTTCATTAAACTAGACATACCCAATTCCAGCAACCGTTCCTTATATGTTTTAGCCTCCAGTCCCCTAAAATCATCTTTGTTGCTCTTCTCTGCACTCTTTCTAGAGTCTCAACATCTTTTTTACATCATGGGGACCAAAACTGGATGCAGCATTCCAAGTGTGGCCTTACCAAGGCCTTGTAAAGTGGTATTAACACTTCACGTGATCTTGATTCTTTTTCAGTTTTCCAGTTTTACATTTAGGTGCTTGGAAAGCAGCGTGGTGATGGGGCAGTTCAATAGTTCAATAACAAAGTCTCTAGTACATATCTCAGGTTGCATTGTCAAAAATTCCTTCTCTATTTCCCTTAACCTTTCAATGTATCATACTTAAATTAGTAAATTTCTAACCATGGCAAACTCAATTAGAACATTTATCAATATATTTTTTGCTTATACATATCCATATCCTGTTTTAAGTTTCAGCTAATTTTTCATTTTTAATTACAGTATTCCAATGAACCTTTAACATCCATAGTATTTAAAATCCTGGTAACCCAAATTTCCTTTATTTCACTGCGCAAAAGTTCTAATATCTGAAATGCACATAGTACTTACAGTAAATATATTCTTATTCTATTTCATATAGATTTTTCTATTTCTCGTCCTAATAAATCACTACTTACAAATAGAATAACCTTTATTGTCTCTCTTTCTCCTTTCTCAGGTGCTTCAAGGACTTCCAGCTGCAGAGGGCCAACAAAATGGAGCTGCGCAAACAGCTGGAGGACGTCAGCGTGGCCCGGCGGACCGAGTTCTACTTTGCACAGGCTCGCTGGCGTCTGACCGAAGAGGACGGGCAGCTGGGCATCGCCGAGGTGGAGCTGCAGCGCTTCCTCTACAGCAAGGTGGGGCTGGTCCGGGGTCCGGGCAGTGGGGCCAAGCCGGGCCTGGCCTGCCTGCAGCTGCCGCTGACCCCTCCGGTCTCTTGCAGTTAAACAAGTCGGACGACACAGCTGAGCATCTGCTGGAGCTGGGCTGGGTGACCATGAACAACCTCCTGCCCAACGCCATCTACAAGGTGGGTGGCCAGCCCTCTTCCCCACCCATCCCCCATCCCAACTTGGTCCTTGGGGGGGGGCAATGAGAGCCAAGGGATCCCTCCTGCACAGCTGCGAGAGGACTTGTGATGACCCAGGGCACAGCACAGAGGCAATGCAGTCAGCTTCCCCCCTGCTGAGGGGTTTTTTGACGCCTGGTATGTCCGTCCACCCCGTTGCAGGTGGTTCTCCGTCCCCAGAGCGCCTGCCAGTCGGGGCGCCAGCTGGCCCTGCGGATTTTCAGCAAGGTCCGGCCGCCGGTGGGCGGCATCTCCATCAAGGAACACTTTGAGGTGAGTAGGGCTGGGCACAAGGGTTGAGCTGCCCCCTCCCCACCCCTTTTGCACGTGGGGAGCCTAATCTGCATGCACCCCTTTCCCGCAGGTCAACGTGGTGCCGCTGACCATCCAGCTGACGCATCAGTTCTTCCACCGCATGATGGGGTTCTTCTTCCCCGGACGCAACGTGGAGGAGGAGGAGGTGGGCGACGAAGAGGACAAGTCCAAGCTGGTGACCACAGGTGAGCGTGACGGGGGCCCTCCCTCCGAAGGAACGCTTCCTGGCTCCCTCCCGGGGAGGGGAGGGCTCCGGCGGCTGAGAGTTTTGACGTGGACGGAAGCCAACTTGCGTGTCCCGGGATAAGGTGGCAGGATCCATTCTGGGTCGGTCATCAGGACCAGAAATTTAGCCTTTCGCACGTCCAGACTCGTGCTGAAGGCCCCATCCTCCGGGAACCTCTCTCCCTCTCCAGAATGTGTGTACTGGGCCGTTCTACATTACCGGTGCCTTGTTGTGTGTGGCTTTTAATTAAGTAGAGTTCGGGTATTAAGTCGTTAGTCCTTGTTTCCTTCTGCTGTTGCGCCCTCGGCTGCCAAGTAAGTACCAGTGAATCTGGTGGTCAATCGACGGACAAGGGCCCCGTTTCTCAGGCTTCAATCATTTCTCTGGCTATTTTTGTCCCGGCTCGGCCGACAATTGTAGTAGTAGCTGGGAAATGGAAGGCGCGTCCTTGTTCATTGCAAAGTGAGGCTAAGCCGCGAGTTCGGGTCGCCCCGTCTGAAGAGTTTTTCTCCTGGATGCAGGGATGCCGGTGGTCAAGCCGCGACAGCTGATGGTCTCCGAAGACTCGCTGGGCTCCGGGAAGGGCATGGGTCAAGGGCTAAACCGGACGTCGGGGGTCAGGCGCTCCTTCCGCAAAGCACCTGAGGTAGCCGCCCTGGGACAGCTTGGCTGACCAAAATGGGAAGGGGGGGTCCTACAGAACTGCTTCTGTCCTGAGAGCCGGCCGGCCCCAGACCTGCTTCTTGGCCAAGCAAAGCACCCCAGAGGACTTTGTGTTCGGGGGGGTTGAGGGGGGGCAGGGTCTTGCTTCCTCAGAGTCCATCGCTGTCCTCGCCTTCTTCTGGAGCCCCTCGGAAAGTGCCCCCGAGGGAGGGGCACGTGGAGGCCGCTGGGTGAGAGGGAAGGGGGGTGGGAGCTGAGATGGCCCCTCCTCAGCCACGGATGCTCAGGGGCGGCTTTGGGCAGTCGCTCTCCAGCCCATCCTGCCTCGCAGGGGTGTTGGGAGGGCCACCATGCAAGGCGTGCTTCCCACGGAGACGTCCAGAGGGGGGGAGAAGGAACCGGGTTGAGCCTGACAAGGGGTGATTTCTCGGACAAGGCTGCCCTTCGCGCGGATCTGAGCAGGCTCCCCCGTCCGTCCGTCCTTCTGTCCATTTGCTCGTTCATTTGTTCCAAAACTCACTACTATAAGGGTAGTCTCCAACTTACGACCACAGATGAGCCCAGAATTTCTGTGGCTGAGAGACAGTTGTTAAGTGAATTTTGTCCCCCTTTTACGACCTTCCTTGCCACTGTTCTTAAGTGAATCACTGCAGTTGCCAAGTTAGCCAGACGGTCGTTAAGCGAATCCGGCCCCCCATTGACTTTGCTTGTGCAGGTCGCAAAAGGGGATCACGTGACACCCCCCTCCCCCTGGATACTGCGACTGTCACAAATGTGAGTCAGTGGCCAAGCGGCTGAATTTTGATCACACGATCGTGAGGTCGCTGCAACGGTCGTGTGAAAAACAGTCCTTTTTTCAGTGCCGTTGTAACTTGGGACGGTCGCTAAACGAACCGTTGTAAGTTGAGGACTGCCTATATCATAGTCTGGAGCAGGGGTAGGCAACCTTGGCTCTTTTATGACTGGTGGACGTGAACTCCCAGAATTCCTGAGCCAGCATGGGGGAACTATGGCCCCTTCATGACTTACGGACTTCAACTCCCAGAATTCCTGAGCCAGCATGGGGGAACTATGGCCCCCTCATGACTCGTGGACTTCAACTCCCAGAATTCCTGAGCCAGCGTGAGGGAAACTTTGCCCCCTTCATGACTGGTGGACTTCAACTCCCAGAATTCCTGAGCCAGCATGGCTCAGCTTGGAAACCTCTCCCTTTCCCCTCAGCATGGCTGGCTCAGGAATTCTGGGAGTTGAAGTCCACCGGTCATAAAAGAGCCAAGGTGGCCACCACTGGTATAGGATCACGGCCTGGCTTGGGGCCTTCCTCCAGCGTCAGCCTTGCCGGGTCCCCCTGAGGAAACGCGGGGAGCCCCTGGGGTGCCTCTGTGCGCCATGTGGGGTGGTGGGAGCCCTGCAGGGGTGCTGGGTGGCTGTAATGGCCGCTGTCCCCCTCCTTCCACCCGCAGTACCCGGTGGACGACATTGACAAGATGAAGGAGCGGGCGGCCATGAACAACTCCTTCATCTACATCAAGATCCCCCAGGTGCCCCTCTGCGTCAGCTACAAGGTTCGTGGGGGGGGCAGTTGGGGGTCTGCTTGTTCAAGGGCCCCGGTGTGGCGTTGGGCCATCGGGGTCCTCCTGCCTCACCCCTTCTTGTGGCAGTGAGTTCCACAGAAACGCTTTCATTGGAAAACGACTGTGGTTGGGGTGGGGGCTGCTAGGAAAGGGGGGGGGCTTCTGGTTTCTGAGTCCCCCCCTCCCCGTTGCTGCAGGGAGAGAAGAACAGTGTGGACTGGGGGGAGCTTAACCTGGTGCTGCCCTGTCTGGAGTACCACAACAACACCTGGACGTGGCTGGACTTTGCGATGGCGGTGAAGCGGGACAGCCGCAAGGCCCTGGTGGCCCAGGTAAGGGGGGGCGGAGGGGGCTCGGGGCAGGGGAGGCTGGAGGGCCCACCAAGCCCATCCTCCAGGGCGGGCACGGAGAAGCGCTCCCTGGCACGGCCACCCCCAGCAGCTGGCAGGCTTTGCAGGGATGGCGGTCTGAATGCCAGCTCTGGTAGCTGAAAGGCCTCGCTGGGTTGGGGATTATGGGAGATGCATTACCTGGGGTGGGGAGAAAGTGGGTGAAAAGCTGATACCTGGGGCTCCACTCCATTATTCCTTCCCTCCCTTCCTCCCTTCCTCTCGTATTTCTTTCCTTCCTCTCTCCCTCCTTCTCC